CGGTTTCCCTGTATCAGTTGACCCTGAAAATCATACTTAGACTGACATTGATTAGCATAATGATGCCCTTTTCGGCATCTAGGGCAAACCCCAGGGGCTTGGTACCTAGCTCCCGTATTCATAGCCAGGCAGTTCTTTTTTAAATGCCCTGGTTTACCACAGCCGTAGCAATTCCCCAAACCTGATGGACCGCGCATGGCTGCAAAGGCAGTAGCCATGGCCTCAAATTTATGATCCACAGTGCCAATTCTATTACAAGCTTCCACCATTTCAATCAGTGTAGGATTCGGTTTAGGGAAGGATTTCAGGAGCTTTTTACAATCCACATTAGCATTTTCTACAGCCAGTTTCAACAACAAAATTTCTCGCGCTTCCGCATTGTCTATCTGATGCTCCAGAGCCTGTTTTAATCTATCAATAAATTGCATATAGGGCTCTCGGGGTCCTTGAGTAATAGTTGTAAAAGCTTTCTGTGGCTCTCCCCACAGGTGTGATTTTCACATTAAGAAAAAAAAAAGGGCACTCTCTCTACAAAGCAGGAAGAAAAGAACTTGCATGGGTGATCTATGAATTCAGATACTTTTATGTATTTTTAAATGAAATTATTTTAAAATTCTAAATAAGTGAATTTTAAAGGGCCATGTTTTTAGACTTTCTGTGAACCAGTGTGACAGCTAATGCAGCTGAATATGTAAGCAATTGGTGACAACTGTCCTGGTTTCAGCTGGGATAGAGTTAATTGTCTTCCTAGTAGCTGGTACAGTGCTGTGTTCAATATGAGAAGAATGTTGATAACACTGATGTTTTCAGTTGTTGCTAAGTAGTGTTTAGTCTAAAGTCAAGGGTTTTTCAGCTTCTCATCCCCACCCAGCAAGAAAGCTGGAGGGGCACAAGAAGTTGGCACAGGACACAGCCAGGGCAGCTGACCCAAACTGGCCAACAGGGTATTCCATACCATGCGACGTTCCATCTAGTACAGGAACTGGGGGGAGTGGGGGCGGGGGATCGCTGCGTGTCGATCGGTGGGTGGTGAGCAACTGCATTGTGCATCATTTGTACATTCCAATCCTTTCATTATTGCTGTTGTCATTTTATTAGCGTTATCATTATCATTATTAGTTTCTTCTTTTTATATTCTATTAAAGTGTTCTTATCTCAACACACGAGTTTTACTTCTTTTCCTGATTTTCTCTCCATCCCACTGGATGGGGGGGAGTGAGCGAGCGGCTGTGTGGTGCTTAGTTGCTGGCTGGGGTTAAACCACGACACAACCAATTCTAGGAATAGCAGTGGTTATTTGCTTTGGAAAAGCCTTGGTTTTCTAGCTTTTAAGATCTGATGCACATTCTCAGAGCACATCCAGTCACCTTAATAATATTTGTTGGAATGGGTATTTCAGAAATAGCTTTTCTGTAGTACCAGGAAGCTTGATATAACCCTCATCCCTAAACCAAAGTATTATCAACCCTCACAAGTGACAGAGAGCTATATTTCAAGGTAGTCATGTAACTGTTTGAGATACTAGTAATGTATGTGACTTAACTTTTCTCTCTCTCAGGTCAGTTACAGGGCTCAGAAAGGGATAACCAGAAATGCAATATTGAAGATGATCACCATATGGATTGCTGCGTTTCTTGTCTATGGTCCAGCCATTCTCAGTTGGGAGCACATTACCCAAAAGAGCATCCTTCCTGAAGGATAATGTCATGCAGAATTCTTCTACAACCGGTACTTCCTAATGATTGCCTCTACTGTTGAATTCTTTACACCTTTCATCACTGTTATATACTTCAACTTAAGTATTTACCTCAACATCAGGAAACATACATCCCTCAGAAATGAAAACCTATCACCTGGTGAAGAGGACTGTGAAATGAGTTTCCAGGGGGGGAAAAAGGGAACACACTATATTTTTTTTAAAACCTGCTAACGGACACAAATGTGAGAAGAAAGCAAGTAGTCTTTCTCCTCTAAAAAAGGCTTCAAGGCTCAGCCTACACAAACTTGAGAATCAGTCATTAAATTTGAATGTCAATGAAGTCCTTCCACCACTTCAGGTGGAAGTCGAGACCAAGCCTCATAGGAATGGCTTCTACAAAACTACAGAAAACATATGCAACACCACCAGCAGAGTGGACATTGCTAATACTATGGCAAATAGATTTAGACTTTCCCAGGATAAAAGAGTAGCAAAATCTTTAGCAATTATTGTCTGTGTGTTTGGTTTGTGTTGGGCTCCATATACGCTTTTGATGATCATCAGAGCAGCTTGCCATGGACACTGTGTGCAGTATTCACTCTATGAGACTTCATTTTGGCTCCTGTGGGTGAATTCAGCCATTAACCCTGTTCTATACCCACTGTGTCATATGCGCTTTAGGAGACCCTTTGTAAAACTCCTGTGTCCAGGAAAAGCCAAAATTCATCCTCATATTTTTAAGTAAAAAAAGTGTGAAGGCTGACAATTAGTACATCTTGCTTTCAGTGGGAGCATAAACTGGCTAATATTTACCTGAAAGTATTAAGTGCAATGTGCACTGAGTAGCTTATGGAATACTGATAAGTAGGTACAAGTGTAGATATTTATGAATGTATAGAAATACAGTCATCCACGTAGCTGGAGAAATCACAGCAATGAAAAGAAAGGTGATTTCTCAAAGCTCTTTGCTTTGAGGGTGCACTAACATTAGGTGCACTAACATTAAAGTGCTGAAAAGGGAATACAACATTCATGGCCAATAATTAGAATTCAGGCTCTCTCACTTATAGTAACTGTAAATATTGCTGGTAAGGAATTTCATAAAGTGTTAACATTGGGCCTGTTATATTTTACCCCCAAACCCACTCTAAGATGCCAAGGGTCTCAACTGTTAAGTGTAATATGCTTTTTCCTCCCACTTAGTGGCAAGCCAGACAAGATAATGATCAAGGCAAAAAAATAAATATTGGTGTCCAGGAAAAGCATGGGATGAGGCACCAGAACAGTCAGGTTACCAGATAAGCTGAGCAATTGTAGCAGGTAAGGGAGCACTGATTTGAGTGGAAAATATGATTGAGAAATAAGAGCATAGAATTTTTAGCAGAACTAAGCTCAGGAACAAGAATATAAAAGGGTTTGGAGTTTTGTGATAGGATATAAGAGAACTGAGAGTTTATACACTGGAAGAGCTTCACCATGAGTTTACTCCCTGAGCTATGACTTCCTGCTCCCTGCCAGGATCCTGCATGGGCAGGAATCTACTTAAGTCAAACCTCTACTCCTTACAGGACTGACAGGTATTACTCTTCTATCTTTTGCTGTAAGTACAGAGTAAGCATAATTAGTCTATGAGATGTATGACAGACAGATCTTGCTATAGACAGAGATTTAGGTAAACTTCCCTTGGAGTCATTTTAAAAACATTTCCAATTAGACTTTTACTAGTCCTGGCTAATTCTGAAAGGAAAAAAAAATATTGTTTTCCCCTACCCCACCCAATGGATCTATCCATCCATCAAGTCATCAGTGGTAAAAAAAAAAAAAAAAATTACTTGAAGTGTTTAGACATTTTCCAAGTCATGCATCATGAATAGGATGACTCTTTAAAAGTCTTAAAATTTACAGCCTTGCTATTGACCACGAGTATGAAAAAACAAGAACGTAAACAACTACATACTGTTTCTGCCATTCTGTCTCTGCCACAAGAGAAGCTCATACAGCTAGATCCTGAGTTTTGACTGGATTTGTCCCACCAGAGGTATCAATTTGAACATCACTAGTGATACAAGTTTGTTTCCACCATCACAGGCATCTTCTACGTAGCTTAACAGACATTTTCCTTCGCTGACAAGTGATAGCTATTGAACAGCCATAGTTGTCCATTGCCACAGCCAAAATGCATGACAGCACAGTTGATCTTAAAGTTTAGAGACATTGTTTTGAAATTATTTACTTTGTAAAATTTCAATAAAAGTAATTAAGAACTGTGCAAGAGTCATAACTTTGTAGCCCTAACAAGTGGTACACAGGAAAAAGCACTAGCCTACAACATTTGGGTAATTGCAGTTGAAACTGCAAAACCATTATTCAAAGACAATTCTTAAGTTACAAGGACCGACCTTGACTGTTAAACAAACATGGTTAGCAAATACTGTAAACTAGGAGGGTATATCCCTACTATATGAATGTATCTACATGAACACAATAATCATCTTCTGCTATGGATGTTTTATAACAAAACAATCAGCTTAACGGTTCTCTTAAGAGGAAGAGCATCAACAGATACAGAGCAGCATTAAGATTTTTGAATAGCATTAATTATACCACTGGGCAAGTAAAGCCATTAGATTATCTCTCCATTCCTCCTCCCCTCCAAGCCAGACTTATACATCAGTAGATAAATGATCTAATTGTTGTCTACTCCATAATTCTTACTTCCCTAAGATTGTATTCGCCTTTTTCAGAAAACAGGTAGTACTAAATTATTGGACACTCCCACCAAGGTCTCATTCACGATCCAATCAAGCCAGGACAATTTTCACAACAGCGGTCAACTTAAGGAGTAAGGAAGTTCAATCAGTTAGCTTTAGAACATTACATTCAGTTAAGGTAAAACAGACATTTCAAAGCTTTCAGCAACTAGCATTAACCTACAGACTATAGCAGTTTTCACAGGAGTTGCCATTGGCAATTGCTCTACTGCTTAGTTTCCTACAGCTTTTAATTGCCACTCATCTCTCTTGCACAGACCTAGAATCCAGTAGGATTCTCCACCACTCTCTCAAAATATGTCATAAAAGCATTCTGAAATGTGAACACACATCATCTTGGCATCATTTGGAAAAATAGTGCTTTTGAAATGATAAACTTCTACATTAGAAACGCTAGCAGCCTCCCAGCTTGTCCAGGTTAACTATGCCTTGATTTTTCTGTCCCTACAAAACAGTTATTTTGCTTTTATCAGAAGGTTCAACATTAGCATTGGGTTCAACAGTGGGCTCTGAAAAGACATGAAACAACAGGTGTTAATAGCAACTTTATTGTTTCACTGGTGCAAAAAATCATGATACTGAATAAACTTGTGTAATGCATTTTCCCCTAAATTTACAGTAATGAAGGTTATACATATCTATATAGATTGCAAATTCTCTATTTTTATACTATTTGGAACAAAATTATCTTGATAAATATGCCCTGTGCAGAGTACTGGCCCTCACTGAATGTCACAGAGCCTTAATATGCAAAATATAACTTCTGTTTTTGAACATGGTACTTTAAAACTCTCCAAACATGCATTAATATATTCTAGTTTTTAGGGAAAAATATTACACTTAGTCTTAACTTGCATTAAAAGAAAAGCACAAGCAGAATCTGACATACAATAATCCCAAAAATCTGATGCTCTGTAAGGATCAGACACAGTTTCAGATGACAGTCACTGCCAGTTTAGAACTCTAGTACTACAGAAGCAACAGTGAACAGACAGAAGAGAAATCAGAACCGAAGAGCCCTACCATGTCACATGGGTTTCAAAGAAAGTTTCAGCCATGCTAACTGATGAAACCTGTAGTTGCTAGTCCAACCTTTCAAATTTGTTAGAGTACTCAACACAAGTGTTTGAAGTGCCAGACTGAACACATGAATGTTAACTTAACTTGACATTTCTGAAAGGCACAACCTATGAATCTATCTTAAAAAACCCATATGGTATGTAAATGAAAAGAAATAAGTACAGTGTGTATCTTCCTAAATAACAAGACCTTCATAAATTGGCCCCTCAGATTCTGGTGATTCCCTCCTCAGACGCAAGTGCTCCAGTGTGTTGTGAAAGTGTTTGTTAATCTGTTCTGTTTCTTCAGTAGACTCAAGGTTTGGGAGATCTTCTCTTATCTTCTGTATAAGCTGATTCAAAACCTGAATTGTCACCTACAGGACAATATAAACAGAACAAAAGTCATCAGCAAGACCTGTGCATAAGTGCATAGACATTAGTTTTAACAGGCTCGTTTCTAAACTATTGGTATTTGGACAGTTCTTAAAAATATGGGTAAGACTGTACGCAGACAAACTGTTGGAGACTGCCTTCTCTTGCTCCTCATAGGACCATTCCGATTTCAGAGTTTTGTGGAAACTCCCCCCATCCCAGCAGATGGGAAGAACTTTTAAGTCATTAACCTGATAGCTTTCTAAGTTTTACCACAGCATTTCTCTCCAGTCTATTCAATACAAATTTTAAAAGCTTTAAACAAATAAAGCACGTAATCAGATTGTCTATGCACTCTAACATAATCTATTTCTTGTAGAAGTCAGTCAGGATGGCAATATCAGATTTAAAGTTATTCTTGGTGACCAAGTCACTACCTAGGAAAGTATGGCTGCCCATGGTGTTAAGTCAGCACTACACAGACCACCACAGCACAAAATGCACCGCAGGCCACCACTATATCCAGAGACTATTTTTACATCTGCCAAGTGCTTTGAAATTCAAAGTTTTATTTTCATCTCCATCAGATACAGCATCTCCTACACTAGAGCACTACTATAGCGGGAAGCCAGTTCAGTTGTTGGAAAGTCAGCAAATCCCTAAAATCTCTTTAGACATTCTCTCAGAACTACAGGGTATAAATTAACATCTTCTGTTGATCAAATGATGACATCAGATGGGATGTTGATCTCTACTTGACCAAGCAGCTTTTTCAAACTGGGTAAGTTTACTAGTTATCTGCTACCAGAAAACGTATGAGGTAACAATCTCAGATTTCAGATACAGAATTTAAGCTGGTACATGAAATGTAAACTTTAATTTCAAGAAATAGATAGGACACCAACCATTTTGTGGTGTGCTCGGCAGTGACCTTGAACAGCTGTAACAATATGTACGTAAGGGAAAGAAAATTAAGTTAGGTACCTCTAAAGTTAGAATCTTACTACTTTCTCATATAAGTCCCAGTAAGTTTTGATTTAATAAATATTTCAGGTATCCAAGTCTCACAATATTTAAGTTCATAACTAAACTGCAAATGTTTGGTGTTTTCCCCCATGTACAAGAATGAACTTTTATCGACAATTTTACTAGTATATCAAGAATTGACTACTCTGTTGTTATTACCAGAACTTGTGCATCTCATGAGAGACTACAGAGCAAGTTGAAGAGACATGATTTGGGGCAGAAGGGTGAATGAAAAGCTTAAAGAAATGCTCTTTAAAACAGGTGCTATGGAAAGAATGCATTTTCACTCACCGCCTCATTTTCCTTTTCATAAAAATAGATATATCTATTCAGAATTTCTATGAAAAGTTGGACTTGCAGAGAAGGATCCATGCACTGATTTGCTATCTTCAGAGCCTTCTTTAGGCATTCCATCACTCTTTTTCCTCCATGAAGCTAGAAGGAAAAACCCAAAAGTTACAAGAAATAGAAGAACCTTAGGAAGCTCCAGTATCTCTTCCCTTCACACATATATGGCATTTCCTGGTGGTCCACCACAGAAACACAGACACACACAAACTGTGGAGAACAACCTGCCACTGAAAGCTTACCTTGCCTGAGTGCCACCAATTTTAAGTTTTGCCAAATCAGGCAATAACATGAACAGTTGTTGAAAGCCTTCAATTATGACATCAATGAACTGAATTTTGTAGTAAGTACACTAATGCATACTTCAAGAAACAGATTTCAAACACTGCTCTTCACAACTGCTTATGTGACAAGCCTTGAACACACAATTTGGGTTTTTTTCTACATTTAACTTCAACAACTTGTATCGTTAATTTGGAAGTTTAGTAGTTCACATGCAAACACAGCTATTATAATAAACACATGCAAAATGCAGACTGTACTTTGACAGCCAGTCTTAAACTAGTTTACACTCCAAAGCTTGCACGGTACTTCAACCCTTAAATTTGGGGTTTCTCCATTTTTGTATTTATGCAGCTTACACTGCAGTGATATTTAGAAGCTTCATGTATTAGGACACATTCCAACCAAATCTACATCAGTAAGTGATATATCTACTTTAGAAGTAAGTGCCTTCAGAAGAAAGGCAGAACTATGTTACTGAGGTAGGATGTGTTACACTGCTGTCAATTTGTTCTTACCTCCTCTCCATTCTTGTCAGTATTTCGGCCAGACCAAAACAGATGGGCACAAGTGCTCACAGCCCGGCATTGGTCTGGCTTCTTAAGGAGCTTAGAGGCTGCCAGCGCACACTGAGTCCTCAAAGGCTCATGGTTCTCCTCACTGAAGCACTTCATCCTCTCAAATGTCCCAATTATCAAGGTGATTGCAGCCAGCTGTGCTTTTGAATCACTGATTTCATCTTCATATAGAGAGAAGGCCTAGTCAAGGGAGAAGAAAGACTCTTAATTGCTGCTTTAGAACACATCAGAAAAAAAAAACCAAAAAAACCCAACCAAAACCAACAAATCACACCTGCTAGTGACATGGCAGGAAAGTGTCCAGTTTTACATTTGCTAAAAGCTTCAGGCAGCAAAAAAGATCTTTCACTGAGAGTGTCAAAATCAAGTTAAATCCACAGACTGGAAATAAGTCTCACAAGAAATACTTCTTACTTAAGTGGTCACAGTAAACAAATGTGATGCTACATATAATCTGAAGATTGAGTTTTTCCTCATTTCAAGCATCTGTTCAAATATGGAACTCCAGTAGCAGAAATAGTCCCTGAAAAGGATTTGGTTCTTTGAAACACACAAAACAGTAGAGCAGAAGTTGAGTGGTAGGTCAGTGACCACACACTAGGTAAGAAAAGTGTTTGCACTGCTGCTACGTGGCTGAAGAGCCTTGAGAGAACACACAAGACTAAAAATCTTGAATCATATCTCTAAGAGAAGGTAAATAATTGTCACGCTGCTCTTGTCTTCAGAATTGTGCTACAATAGCAACTGATACAAGACAGTGAGGAAAAGCTGAGGTTATCAGCAACTCAGTCTAAGAATGTGCATTAGTAGCAGTATTAGAGGAAAGATTTAGGACAAAGCTTGCAATATGGATAACATTAAATAATTTGGTTCTCTAGCTGATGGGAAGGTTTTTGGAACAAGTAAGGCTTAAGACCAAGTAACAGGTTTAAATGCATTCTCAGAGTAGTTTATAATAGATTTCAATACAAGGATTTTAATTAGCAAAGCCCAGCATGGCAGTTGTGAACACTGCAAATTTTAGAGAACTTCCAAAGAGTGCTTGTGGTCAGGGCAATACCAGCTAGGTAACAGGAGCTGGGAGACAGTCTTAGAAGCAGTGAAGGAGTATTTTATGTTGAGAAAGCGACACTCCTCCAGTGAACCAACTATGCAAGTAGGAGGCAGCATTGCAACATACCACGTGTTGTCAGACTGAGTATTCAAATCAGTAGTAATGGAGCTTAATTGCACAGCAGCCTGGGAAGCAAGAATGAAGATAAGGAGTTTCTACCTAGTAGCATTAGCTGTCAATTGTTTCAGATGTTTTAATCACACCGGATGGCTCAGCATTCAGGAAATCTACCCAAGCCAAATTTAAGGTAGCACAGGACAGTAATAGTTGGACGCTCACCTGGGACATGAATTCATAGGCCACAGTTTCATGATTTTCAAAGCCAATCTCTCCTGCAGCCAGTGCTCCTTGTAGGAAGAGACGAAGAGGCAGCTCTGCCAGTTCTGCTTTGATCAGAGCACTGATGGTCTGATGAGCAAACGAGAAGATCTTCTGGCACTTCTTTTCCCATTTGTCATCCTAGAGAAGTGAAACAAGTCAAAGCTTGAACAAGACTATTGCTATAAGGAAAAGAGAATTTAAACTGTAATAAGATCTGTCAAGTACTCCCGTCTGTTGTCTTCTGCATGCCACTGATTTACTGAAGTAGTAGTGAGTGCCCTAGCAGTATTGTGTTGACCTCAGTGGGTCTTCAAAGTATTTCTTCCATTTACAAAAAGTTCACACCCATTTTTCCTACCAGCTCATAGAAACCTTCCTCAGAAGTCTACACTGAATTGCAGTTACTACAGCTATGCTTAGAACATAACTGAGCAAAAGCCTAATTAGCTAAGTGGAGAAAAATTCTGTTCAGTCTAGAGCATCAATCAGAAGTGAAAGAGAATTTTAAAACATTCATTTTGAGGACTGTTTTAACAAACAGCATTTTAACTTATTTCCCCACAATAAGGGAAAATACATATTTAAGCTATCTCAATCAGAAAGCATTAAAGGGCCAAAATGGATAAGTGATTTTTTTTTTAGCGTGCACTTTTGCAACTACCGTGTAAGTTAACCTACAAAGAAGCACTTGCTTTTAGAAACATTAAAATAGTATAGCTACAGACTTAGAAGTTGATGAATTTCAATATCCAGATTTAAGTCAGTTTCATGCCATCACTTGCAGTATCATAGTTCTCTGGTCTCCATGTAAAACCACATATCAGTCACCCTCATGAATATACACAACTAGCCAATTTCTGCTTCATCATTCCTCAAGTGCTGAGGTAATTTAATATGAATTGATAAAAATCCTCCCTAAATTAGAAAGCATTCACACCTCAAGTAAAAAAAAAAAAACAAACCTGCCTCGAGCAAAAGAAACCCTAGCATTCTGTATCAAGTCTTAGCATACAGACAAAGTCTTAGCCAGACAAAATGCATTTTTAAGAAAGCCAAAAAGAAGCAAGTATACAAGAGTTACCTATAGGTCAGCTTACCACTTTGGAGTTCTCTTTGTAGCGAAAAGCAAGCTGGTACGCAGCAAAAACCAGTGGTGGCAGTGTAAAACGAATACGTTGGTTCCCACCTGCACCAAAGTGTTTCCGGGCAGTATTTAGGATCTGAAACAGAAGCACTGTAAGCTTAGAGAACTCTTGAAAGAGGTGTCTTATTTGCCTCTGGAACTTAATGTGCACTCTATGGAACAAGAGCATCAGAAAGACATGGTGTTAGCATCAGATAAATTACAGTATTTTGGGGGAAGTACATGCAAGTTGCTTTACTTGAATTAAATCTGTGCAGTCTCTGTAGCTTTTTATGTGGTATTTGCCCAAAGTTTTCCTACAGCTGCTTAGTAAGTGTTAGGCAACGCTTGTTGTACTGTATTAACCGCAGATACATTTTGGATTGTTCAGTGAGATGGAAGTTGCCTGAGCTTGCATTTAATAATGACATCGGATACATTCTGTCCTCAACTCAATAGAAGCTACAAAAAGGACTATTCTTTCTTAAGCCTGTAAGAAAGTAAAAGAAAGAAACCAAGTTTCATGAAATGAAACGCGTATAGCTTCTCATACTCTGAGAGAAAGACTATAGTGCCACATTCTGGTGGCCACACCTGCAACTTTTGCCATTTTACCCTAGTTTTAGTTTTTCATTATGCTTATTAATGACAGCTTCTTTTATTGCCTTTCTCAGTTTTGAGCACAAGTTGCACACACAACATGAATGTGATACTTTTCTGCCTATCACCCTTGTTCTAAACCTGTGGAGAAAGACTACGGAGCTCTACTTGTTTGTACTGTTAGCTTCTACTTTTGCCCTTATTTTGGGATTATTTCTACCTATTGATAGAGTTAGTCATGTATTCTCATAGCTAGAATTCTCTGCATCATTTAAAGTGAGATACTGTGAAAGAGCTGTTAAAATCCTATAGCCTCGGATTTTCTCCTACTGTTTCTGCAATGTAGGAAAATTTGATACAAGCATTTGTGATACTCATCAAGAAGCTATTAAGCATTTTTACTAAAAGGTGTTAAGTAGCTTACAGAATTCTATCCAAAAGATAATTTGACAACTCCTATGATGGCATTTAAAGGTGGTCAATCCAATTAAAGCTAAGTATTGCTAGATGAGAAAGACAACAGCCTGATATGCAGAAGCTTTGCAAAAACAGCTTCAACACCTCTAGCTATGCAAAGTCTTTTGGACTAAAAATACATCACTCCCTTAGTGCCAGCATCCCTTTGAGGAAAGTTTTGTTCTCTATTAGCAAAAAAACCCCACATGGTTATCTTGGCTTTTCCTGTATGAATACGGTATTTGCTAGCTGCAATCAACCCATATAGTTCTTGAAATGAATGAGAACCTGGTTGAGCTTCCTGCCTTACTCCAGCAATATTCAGAAATAACACAGTCAATGAAGAGCAGGTCGTGAAACACAACTGCCTCCAATCCTTGTACAGGCCTTAAAGCTATGCTTCTCCCCATTACAGAAGTTGCAGCAAAGCTCTACATTTCAAGCAAGAAATTTTTATACAATACTTAAACCCAAGCTAATTGAATACCAGTGATTTTATGTGTAGCTTCTCCTGGATTACATTGGTCTATTCTCACTGTTTATACAGTATGATATTGCTGCAACTTTAAAACTAAGTCAGCCGATTGTATTTCAGGCATGCTAACTGTAACTTCACAGTAGTCCCTACTCAGGCCTGAGCTCTGACTAGAACGAAATCTAGCTGCTGCAATCTGTAACAGCATCCAACTTCAATACATCTTCTGCCAGCTTCTCCAATAGATTTTGCAAAGACAGAATATCCCTCAGCACTGAGGGATATTGAGACAGCACTGAGTTGCCCCCAACACACTTCTCAATATAGGGAGATCATTTAAACTTGAAATAAACTAAAGCCAGAAATAGCAGATTAACTTCAGAGAGCTACATAAAGCTTTGATGGATCAACTCAAACTGTTACAAGTAACAAAGCGTGAGTTTCAAGGCAGTATCAAATCTGCTATTAAGGATGGACCAAGCAGAGAGGAAAAACATTTGTAACCACATGCTGTAAGAAGACCATATACCTTCACTAATTAAAATCCCTGAGGCCAAACATATTGGCTGTATTTTCTGAGCTTTTTCGTGTATTTTGATACCAAGAGAATGCAAATGGCACAGTGCTCCAAATTTCACTTGCTGCTTTTTAGCTAGACGGTTAAATAAAGTTGTCAGAATGTTAATTAAGAGTTACCACAAACTAATATATTTGCATCCAAACTGCCACCTCATGGGACTAGAAGTTTAAGTCCACAAATGCTTTTAAGTCCTTGCCTGCTCTTCCAAATAAACATTTCATACTACCATTAAAGGTGTCATACATAATGTTTTCTGTGTTTGCAGTGCCAGAGCAGTGATGTCCCAGCTACACTAAATTCTTGTATAGTAAATAATGCACTAACTGACAGTTCAGAGAGCACAAGCATTCAGAAGCACTGATCAACATACCAGATACTGTTGGTCAGGGTCATCTGAACGCAAAAGATGAATAAATCTTCCCACAAGACTCTGCTCATCAGCAAAATCCTCAGGGTCAGGATCTTCAGCAGGCTGATCTGGTTGATCCTGGATCAGTGTGGATACCAAATTCATGATAGCATCAACCTGTTAAAGGCAATATAAACTCTGTTTAAACCAGAGTAGTCTATAAGCATAAGTTGACAGCAGCTGGGAACATCTTTACAGCCATTCATAGCGCTGACAAAGCACTAGGAAAGTCTATTAGATGGTGATACTTTAGGACATATTTGCCTTACTCCCTGAAGAAGGGTCCCTCTTAGCACAAGTGGGACAGCACAGCAGTACAGAGGAAATTCAGATTCCAGAAATACCATCCAGCCTTCTTTAGGTAATAGGCCTAGTCTTAAGGGTATTCAGGGTCTTTGTTCAAACCTAACAGAAGTAGTCCCTAGGACGACATTAGGTAAGATGGGCAAAGACAAGATATCTAAGAACACGGGTGGGAGAATTATCAAGTGGGATAAAGCCTCTACTACCAAGATGGGGAGGCGCGGGCATGCAGGGGCATGAAGGCTAGGAAACAAAGCACACCCTGCATGAAGTCACTTAGTATGTGTTTTCAAGTCTTCAAACAGTAGTTTAAATACCTACAATTTCAAGTTAACTTATGTCATACCTGTTCTTGAGACACAATTTCTGTGTTATAATCCAATACATTGCTAAGCACGTAACAACTCATGCTCTTCCTGGACTCGTAATCAAAGTATTCAAAGAGTGGGTGAAAATGTTTTAGTTTCAGAACTGTCAGGATATTGTTGTAAGTATCAATAGGGATTTTCAAAAGTCTAGTCAGCTCCTTTGAAACAGCACTGCTTGTTGCAATACTAAAAGAAAATACATGCAAAAACCACAATTAATCAATAGTTCACATATGTAGACTGATTTAAAGTCTGCCTCAATACCAATTCTGATATATACCACAATATCTAAGCAACTTGCTGCTAGGGAGAAAGGAAATAAAGCATCAAAACAAGTCCTATCTTGCTCTTTAGGATGTACAGTGGAAACTGCACGTTTTCAGTTGCTGATACCAGAAGCAGAGGCTGTGGCTGCAAATTCAGCAAGAGAAGAACTCTAGAGTGCTGTAAGGGATGAATAGATAATGACTACACACAGCTTGGCATACACATTGTGTAGCTGTACAGTTGTGCAGTAGGATTTATGCACAGGTAAGCAAGTCCTGGTTAGTCAGTAGTTTATCATGATCCTCTATAGCTTGGCCCAAAAGCAGTAACCTTACACATCCAAAGCACACGTCTCTGCTATCTTGCCAAACACGGTGAAATGTAGAAGTCTAGATTTTAGAGTATTAATTGCCACTCTAGAGAGAATGCAAGAGACACTTACTGTTCCAGATTAAGTTTATTGAATATTTCCACGGTTGTCTCCAACACCTTATCAACATAGTCAACACGGTCTGGATAGCATTTCATAGCCAAGTTAATGAGAGAAACTTGCAAAGATACAACATCCTCTGAGGGCATGTCCTGGCGAGACTGTAATTTGAGACAGCACTGAGTTGATAAAAAAAGCACGTAACTTTGCAAAAAAAACCCCAAAACTGCATTCAAGAATACCCAGCATACCTGTATTACAGTAGCAACCTGCTGTGAAAAGATGTCAAACAGTTTGATATCTGCTGGGATTCCAGGTCCATCTTCACGATGTGCAAATAAAGCTAACCTGGTAACAGATAAAGGAAAGAAGCTTGGTCAGCATAGTTTTTCCACTCCTCAGATACAGGCCAGAAAGAGATACTGGCAGAAAAAGCAAGTCCTTCAGGTATATTTGCAAGCTCTATTGCAAGCAAAAAGGAAATTAATGGAAGTCAGAAGCCTTAAGAGCAACTGAGCCTGGTAAATATCAGCCCTGGAAAAGAATGCTGACAGAGATGGCAAGATGAAGAAGAGCAACAAGGACATTTCTCATAATCCATGTTCTTCAGCTAGCAGCAAGTGTTCTGTTCTTTCCAGCAGAAAGAGGTATAGAGCAGGCTATGGAAGAGCAAATATCCTGCATCCATTCAGTGATATTACTGAATTTAGACATCCAGTAGCATTCCCTGCAAAACAGTCTCCAGAGAAAAAACAGAAATCTGCTGACTTAACTATGCTTTGTCTCCAAAGACAGACCAACATGTTTGCGACTTCCACTGTTTGCAAAGAGCAAAATACAAAGTAAGTTTGAAGTGGAGAAGGGTACTTTTTTTGGAAAAAAAACAAAGCAAGAGATTGCTATCTAGCAAGCATTCGAAAGTTGTTGTAGAGCTATCTCTTTCTATAACAGGAGAAAGTCATGCCAACCACAGTTTCTGCAGAAATCAGATACAAGATAAGAAGAATTACTATAGGAAGGCTAGCACCTTACCAAAGCTGCAGCTTAAAAAACTCAGCATTGTTACCTTTACTTTCTAATTGTTAAGAGACTATTCTGTTCTGAATTAGAGGAAGACCTAAAAACATATTTAGGAGAAGGGACACAATTAAAATTAAAGTTATTTCTTACAGGGTTTCTAAACTTTGATTCTGAATGAACTTTGGGTTTGAAACAAAAAGGCAGGTAAGAAGAGGTTGAGATGCCAAAACACTTCACTAACAGGAAAAAAAGATGTTGAACTACTCTTAACATTTCATTAGGGTGGTAACAAGCAGACCTTCTAAAGCCTGGAACAATCACTGCCTTTTCTGAAAGGGACAAGGCAGCTTTTTTTGGCAACAGCTCAGAGGGTAAGGCCAGCACACTACAAAATATGATCAAGTTGCAGGCAGATGGCAGCATAATTAACAGCTACAAATGGTTTAGTAAGGCAAGAAAGATCCCAAAGCAGCAAGACTATTTGCAGAAAAATTCCTTTAACAGGAAAGCACCACAGGAATAGGCACTGAAGCTTCACAAGCTTCCTCAGCAGTCACTGATGTTCAGTTTCAATTATGCCATGCCAGCTGAAATAAAGATGAGAAACCCCAACAGGCACTTATCTGTATGGGGCAGATTCACATCTTAAGTACACAATACCAAAACACAAAACAATTGCTCATAACAACTCCAATCCAAACAGAAGAGCAACATCTTCCCTACATGCATGGATTCTGTCGCGGTTTAACCCCAGCCAGCAACCGAGCACTATGCAGCTGCTCACTCACTCCCCCCGCCCCCAGTGGGATGGGGGAGAAAAATCGGAGAAAAAAAAAAAAAGAAAAACTCATGGGTTGAGATAAGAACGGTTTAATAGAATATAAAAAGAAGCAGCTAATAATGATAACACTAATTAAGTGACAGCAGTAATGATAAAAGGGTTGGAATATACAAATGATGCACAGTGCAATTGCTCACCCCCTGCCGATCGACACCCAGTTAGTCCCCAAGCAGCAATTCCCCCACCCCCACTCGCCCCAGTTCATATACTAGATGTGACGTCCCATGGTATGGAATACCCTGTTGGCCAGTTTGGGTCAGCTGCCCTGGCTGTGGCCTATGCCAACTTCCTGTGCCCCTCCAGCTTTCTCGCTGGCTTGGCATGAGAAGCTGAAAAATCCTTGACTTGACTAAACATTACTGAGCAACAACTGAAAACATCAGTGTTATCAACATTCTTCTCATACTGAACTCAAAACACAGCACTGCACCAGCTACTAGGAAGACAATTAACTCCATCCCAGCTGAAACCAGGACAGATTCCAAGAACAGATCCACTCATATCCTCCAACACTTGCAGTAACATTACAGTCAAAAGCACAAGCTGCCATACTAGAAAGAAGATAATCATCACACTGCCACCTTTCTACCCTTGTCCTGTAGCTAAATGAGAAGGCTCTGGAAGACACTATTAGTGGCCCAACAAAACATAGTAGCATTAAGTCTAGGAGGACAGCAGGTTCACTGCTAGTCAGTTGCTTACTGTTGTTCGTAACAGTAAGAATAGAAAACTTACTGTGGAAGTAATACCAAAGCTGTTGAAGTCCTCTAAGTGGACATGACAGCAAAAGCTACATGAGGAAAACCTTCTTGCAAAAATTATAGCTACACACTAATGTAAGAACCTAGCAAAAGATGACCTCTGTTGAAAGTAGTCTCAAGATATTAGATTGTTTCAGGCAATGCTTCTTGGGATTTGAGGTTTTGTGGGTTTTACAGGTTTTTTGTTTTGTGGTTTGTTTTTTTTTTTTAAAGCTAACAAAATTATGAAAAATCTCAGCCACAGCAGCAAAGTGTAGAAAACCAATGAATTCCTGCAAACATCTCTAGGTGAAGGCAGAGATGCTTCTCTGCCAAATGCACAAATACTGAAAGATAGTCCACTAAGACTGAAGTCCTGAACAAATAGATCTGATGTAACCTGGAGAAAACAAACTACAGATTTGTTAAGTAAAAAATTCAAGATCCTAAGTTATACCAGTTATACATAACATACCTGCTCCATCTCCAGGCATTAGAGAAGATAAAGAAACAAAGACACAACCACCCTACTCATTGCTGAATGCCAGTGGGACTCAAGACCTCTACGGTAACTGAAGTCCATACAGTGGTACATGGACCAGATACACAAAGGTACATATATCTGTGTGCAAACGCGTGGACAAGGCTTTTTTGAGGCTTCAAAAAATCCACTTTAAGTAAGTGCACTTCCTTTCTGCAGTACTCACTGAAAATCTGTGTTCTTTTGTTTCAGGATACAAATCAAAACTTCAGTTCTGATTTCTCCCTCACATCTGAATTCAGTGAAAGCAGTTTTAAGCAGCACCTCCTTTAAGCAGCTAGTAAAAACATACTTTTGGGAGAACAGGCAGGAAGCTAGTGGTAAACTAAGAATAAGAAAGTAGTTCCATTTCATACTAGCTCTATTCTGAAGAGGCATACGTTATGTTCTCTGATCAAAATTGCAAGGCAAAGTATCTTTTATATGTGATTTAGCCATTAGGATCTTCAAGTTTTCAAGAGATAGCTATGACCGATATGGCTGTCAAAGCAGAACACTGCTGCCACTTTAGTTCAGAAACATGAAAATGGTCAATACTAAATGAGTTGTTTCCTGGCTTAATCTGTTTACAGGTTTCAATCAGTCCTTAAAGCAAGGTTTCATCAGAAGCTGTAAAAGCAGAGTCCAGACAGCAGAAGCTATAGAAATAATACTCTTCACAGCCTTAATTACAGCTGATAGAAAGACATAGAAACAGTGAAGTTAAGTGATATTAAAAATTGAAAACTTCCACGTGCTAAAAGAATTATCATCTGCTTGTGCACAACACAAACTTAATTTTCAGCCAATTTCCACCCCCTTTGGTCACTCACCTGTCAATTAAAGCAATAATTATATTTTTCACATTCACATTTTGGTGCAGCTCAGCACAGGCTCTGAGAAATGGGTTCAAGGTTTGGAGGTGAAATTCATCTGGGAAAACCTGAAGTTTTAGATCAATAGTCATCAAGTTATAAACTGAATTTGCCCATTGTTACACAGCAGTAAAATGCAACAGTAATTCTAAAGCAGACAGCCACATAATAAATACAGTCTGGCCTATGAATGCTTTAGGGTTCCCCAAGCTGACCATGACTGGGTAAATGCATGAAGCAAGAGATGCAAGACAAATGGATAACTTCAGGGCGCAGCTACCTATTACAATTCATACTGCAGGCACTGCTGCTCAGATGTTTACAAGCTTCTGCAACAGAAGGAGCACAAAATAGATTCATCTCCACTCTGCCCACCTGGTATATGGGCAGAGAAATATGGGACAAGCCACTATGTAAGAGTCCTAGTGACAAAGTTTTCCAGTTCATGAGGAAGAGGTGAAAGTAGCCTGAATCTGACTAAAAGTATAGGAGTAAGTGTCCCCATGTCCCATCACTTGATTGAGTGAATTCAGGCAATTGAATTTAAGCAACTCACCTGTATGATGCACTCCATGAGGTACTCCTGAGCTAAAGCATCTCTACAGTTTACAACTTGCTCCAATATTCCGGGCAGAACAATCTGGAATAGGAAAAGTAGTCTTGCAGTGATTTTACAATTACTTTCTAAGTTTATATGCAGACATACATATGTGTTTAATCCAAGCAGAACAGTATTTCTAAAATTTCTCAGCTTAACCTTTACATAAAGGCTTTCTCATAAAAAGTCCCATTTTTCAGCAGTTCCATCCTTCAGAGGAAAAAAATCTACTGGTCTCAGACACCTGTCCTTTTTGTACATTATACAACCTGCGAACTTTCATTTAGTAAGTCAGTGCTACTAGTTTTGCTGGCACATACCACTACTCAGGGTCTCAGCAGTACTGACCAAAATAATTTTCAGCAGCGATATGGTAAAACTTACAAGGGACAGACTTCTAAATTATATATTTGCTTGACTATCATTTCATGCAATAACAGTTCTCTTGAATGCTTTGGGAAACAGCTTCATTTAACTTGTAAAGTCTATCATAGAACACTGTATGCGTACACATCCCTTAAAGCAACTCATTATTCTATAAGTAAAATGGGAATCAGGAACAAAAGTTTTAAAATCTCTTGTTAATGTTACAGAGAAGCTTATAGGAAAAATGTATGAGCCATGTCCTTAGCCTCACAACTCATTATACAGCTTCATTAGCATTCAGAACTTTTCCTCAGGTGAAGAGTTCGAGAAGCACCAAGATTACTGGACTTTTAGCATAGCTGTAACACTTCAAGCCGCTGATCTGAAAGTCCAAACTGGTTTCATTTGGAAAAAATTAACAGAAGTCATAAGGATGGACAGACATCCTACCTGTTTATATCGCTCCACATTAACACCTTCCAACTGACTGAGGCGAACCAGGTTTGTTCCTACTAGGATTCTCAGTTCCTGCCTTTCTCGCTCCCTTTTCTCTCTGTCCCGACTATGGCCCTGGTGTTGCATTCGCACCCAAAGTTTATTCATCTCAGCAAAGTTCAGCAGCACAAAATCCATCGAATCACTGATGTCTCCAGTGGTTTCTTCACTGCAATTGAGAACAGGTTAGGAACAGGAAAAGCTTGTCAGAGGTATTCATCCTTCCATCCACTGGTGAACATCCAATTCTTAAGAAGGTAAGAGGGTGGGGAAGTGTGTGGTTCAATATCTGGGTTCATAAGAAAGGTTCATATCCTCATGTGTGAGAAACCTTAGTTCTGGAAGGGAATTCTTAATGGACCAAACACCTGTCAAAACCGTAGAGTTCTAACATATCTACTTCTCTCAAATCTGAAGAAAGTGATACAGAAAATTTAAATATGTTCTGTTAAAAACAGTAATTTTTAAAAGTTATAGCCTATCTTTCTTACTCTGCTTGCTCGCCTTCATCTGGTAAGATATTCCTGGTACACTGCAGTAGATAATTTCTAAGAAAGAGGCCTCTAAGAGGATGCTGTACTCCACGGCACATCTCCACAAGGTCTTTCAAAATATCTTTCCTGGACTGTGGAAATGACTTGACATAGACAACTCCTACTGTTATCAGGAGATACCTGCAAAAGGCACAGAATCAAACAATAAATTGTAAAGTAACAATATCACACTCAAAGGCAACAGTTCCCTTCTTTCACCCTGCCAGAATTACCAAAGCACAGAAAGCAATAAAATATCAGCTAGATCCCATAATTTTGGATATTTAATCAGCTTTCAACTCCTATTCTCCTCTGCTACAGAGCACAGGAAGTCTGAACAGCCACTTGACCACATTACAATGCTTTTATGCATTGCATGTGTAAATGCTTAGCATGCATGAAGTTCTGAATGCTCTCAGACTAGCTTGTTTATACCTCCAGCACCCCACTAAGCTGGAAAACAGCTCTGGCACATATAGATAAGTAACCTGCTATGGTGAAGCAGTTAAGCCTCTTTCACACTGTAGTCTAGCAGGACAGGTGTTATGCTCTTCGGAAATCCTCAAGCCTGTACTCATTCCTTCAGCATCTCTATATTAGGCAACAGGTAGAAGGAACATGCAAGATGCAAAGGACTAGTACTCCAGTATACTTGGACTCCCCTTCAGCGTAAGAGAAAAAACATATAATGCTCAGAACCTTCACATATTCAGTTTAGAGGCCTCAACCCTCTCTGTATGTTTCTCTGCCTCGTGCATGGATGTGCACAGAACCTCCATGAAAGCACTAGAAGTGTTCATCAGGGAGAACCAGAGTCTACATCAAGCAGGTAGGAATACAACTCAAATGATTATGCAGAGGGGTAAAGACATTGTGGTAGTCATTAGCCAAACTCCAGAAACTGCATGAGGGTGCAGCCTGGCGTCTCCAAAGCCTCTTCCTGGCATGAACATAAGGTCAGGAATTAAAAACTGCAGTACCAAGCAAAATCTGAGTCCTAAGTCTGAATATCTAGAAGATCTCCTCCAGCCCAATGGTCACATATTTAAAGATAAACCTTCCAGTACCATCTCTAGCATGCTAACACATAGCCAAAAAAACACATACAGAAACACAAAGCTTTTAAGAATTAAGTTACAGAAATTTTCAGTTTCCTTCTCACACTTCTTACTTTCCAAAGAGACAGATGGTTACAAAGCATCTACTATGTGTGAGGATCTAAGACCTAGATTCTCAGGTACAAGTTCATTAACAGATAACAGAAAAAGTTAATAAATGTGTAGTCAATCTCACTGATCAGAATGTGGTACTTGGTTGATCTTCCACTGACCAGCTCTTTACCCAAAAGCCAACTTTATTCCAAGATCAAAGTGCTTCCATCTTGGTCATGTGCAAAACCAACACATTCGCAGGAGGAACTGACCTTCTACAGCTGCGCTCTTGGCCTAGATCTCCAAAGTCTCATAGCAATCCACTCTTAAGATAAGCAGAAATACTATTCACCATTGCAAACTGAATTCTTGCTGTCAAGCAAGAATGCAGAGTCAGTCATTATCTGAACCCAGAGTCTGACCACTATTCACCAGTTTTAAAAAAACCAAACACACACTAACATATACACACTTGCAGTCTCGGAATAATATTTCCAGCATATGTATACACACTTACAGTCTTGGAATAATATTTCCAGCGTACTGTACTAGCTCATAAAGGTCTGCCACTTTCCTTCCTTTGGCAAATTCATCTGTCAGGTAGACTTCCAAGTAGTGTAGCTCATCAGAAATTGCCATGTCTCTCATAGTTAAGGATTTTAAGTTAGAATGTCTACAACAGATTTACATAGTAATTTGCTCATTCACACCAAGGAGGAAAGATACTGTACTAAACACAATCATGCCCAGGTAGGTAGTACTTCTGAAACAATAATCACTATTGGGATAAGCGTGCAAAATTAACCCCAAGCCTTCAGTTGTCATTTTTAGCATATCAGAAAAGGGGAAAAAAAACCCCAAACCCTAAATCAAACCAGCAAGCAAACAGATGTGATTGAACAGAGTATCTAAAATAAAGGCATACTAGGTGTCACAGAAGAATATCATCCACACACGGAGAAAGTAGTATTTGAATATATTCACATTCTATTCCCACGTCTCATGAAAAGGTTCCCCTTCTTCAGATACCACAGTATGCACATGTAAATACACCGAGGCACTGATTTATGGTTAGAAGCTAAGATAATAATGAAGGGCAAAAAGTAAGCTGGTTTTACAGATTTTGGGGTAGCATAGTGCAAGCAGAGTTGTTTTACAGAGCTGGTATTTTTACAGAACTAGACTTCTGGAACCTACCAAAGGAAGATATGAAAGACATTAAAGACCTGTTTTATACCAAAGGGAAAAGATGAACTTACACAGTGAGCAAATAAGTGCGTGTTCTCCTACAATATATCCAGATAACTAAATATTGAGGAGAAAAGTGCTAGTAAATATCGAGACTGACGAGACACCAGTGTACCAAAAAGAGCAGATGAACATTCCAAATTCAGCATTTCAACTATTCATTCCCTCTTCAAAGGATACAGAGCTCATAATAGCTCTTTGGAGATAACATAGAAGTCCGCAGCTCACCAAGCATGTTGGAAGCATGTTTCAAAGCATCCATGAGCTTGTTTTTGTCCTTTAGAGGAAGAAAGAAAGAGAGAACAGTCTGTAAGAAATAACACTGGGCAACTGCAGTATTTTAGAAAGCTACACTTATAGCTTTTTAAAAAAGCATGCAAAGATTAAGTAAACACCAGGAAATTCCCATTAAATCAAGTGAGTTAGTATCTAGCTTGTACCATGTCGCCCATCCTAATTAAGCAGAACATTATACCTGAAGGTGGCAAGAAGACATATCTGAAGACAGAGCTACAGTAATAATTTGTGAATACTAATGGTACAAAAAACTTAAAAGAAAATTTTGCTTATGCAGAAATCTCCACTCACCACTCAGATCCTATCCAGCAAGCAAAATAGAACAGATTCTCCCCCGCTCCCCCTCCCCACCCCCAGTCTGGTCTGTTGTTTTGCTCAGGTCATGAAGAAACTTCTAGGAGACAGAGGATATGCACTGCCAGCAGACCACTGTTAGAATTAGATTCCTCTTCCCCTACTTCTCATCCAAGAACAACACCTTACTGAACACCTTACAGTTTATTAGGCTGCATATAACTTACACTTATGATGCATATAATCACCTTGCATCACAGGATACAAGACAAACTTCTAATATACCACCTATGCATGCTTGTTCAACCCATCACAAGCACCTGCATTTTGTTGTGAGGGAGAACGCAAGGAATTGCTAGTGTGATCCACTTAGTATATTGTCACTCAGTCACAGATAGCAGTGAAAAGCTCAGCTGCAGGTACTTCAAAGACTTCAAAAGCATTCCACAGAGTATAAAACTGGAATGGGTGTTACTTTTCTTGCTACTGTCATTTGGCTGCAAACAAAGTTAGCTTGGCTAACCACATGAAAATCTACAGGAATATATAAGTTTTCATTGCAACTTCAAGCAGTTTCTCCAAATAAAAATAGGCTTCTCAAACCCAAGAAAGCTACACATGATGACATCATCTGTCTGCACTGGCTACAATTTGAAGATAAAGATCTCAGCACAACCCTAGCCAATGGTGTTTTCCAGTCACAGAAGAATTCATGCATCAGTCTACAATTAATCACTACAAAATTTATCCTATGCAGCAGGTAATTCATTATTAGCCTCACAGCCTGTGGTTCATGCCAAGAAAAGACTACATGGAAAAAACAACACTATTCTTGTTTACGTTGAACATACTTTCTCATCATATAGTTCCATATAAAATGAATTTGAGCAATAGCCTTCTGATGTCAAATGGCAGGCTTATTCTCAGTTTAGGTTTACTGAAATGCGAGCACATAAATTATAAAGGCACATCTTTATAATTTATCTTGTCAAATACTGGAGCAAAATCAGGAAGACACATTCAAAGAATACTCAAGGCTAACTCTCATTGAGCAGCTGCCTCATTTATTTGCAAAGCCTCTACCAGAAAGATGCACAAAGGGTTAATTTCCCTCACAGCACTAGAGATTAGAATTGATTTACTGTTTAACATCTAGCAGACAAGAAGCTTCATTGCATTTTAAAGTCACATTCTTACCAAGCATCTCTTCATCTGGAAAGACTGCACCTTCACAGCCTGAATGGCTTCATCCAGGAGTTTTTCCTGTTCATCCTGAGGAGATTGCTGTGTTGTTGGCTGGAAGAAAAAACAAAGAACTCAATTATTTGTATGAAGCTGTTCATGACTTGATTCAAACTGGGTTCCTGTAGTTTAGAACATAGTGCAAGTGACACTGCAGTGTGACCACTCCAGAGTTGTCAGAAATAGCTGTGGGATATGTAAGGGAGAAAGTTCCCAGTACTCTGCAAAAACCTGAGGGCAGGGAGAGATAGGTTATGGGTAACCTGCGAGCAGCACCGCTTCTTGGAGTGCAAAACTATGGGGACAGAACAGGGTCAACTTTTCCCTTCCAATGTTCAGAGGTCAAGAATCCAGTGCAAGTATCTGGCAAGAAAAAGCTTCAAGAGAATGCAAAGACATCACTATGCTGAGAGGAAGCATTACTTCTTTCCACAGAGCTTCAAAGCAATGCCCGGACTGCACACACTGCAACTGTACACATGCTCTCCTGTACTCACAAGTTCTCAATTAACTGCCATCTGAGCCACACAACTCTATTAAGGACAAGTCTCAGATAAGCAAAGCTTAAAGTACAGTTACTGCTTTCTGGAAGGTAGAAGCAACTTGCAGAAGGCGAAGGCAATAGAAAACAGAAGAGAAGCAACAACTCTTCATGTCCCCTACTTGTTCCAGTGACCCTCTTCCTCTTACCTCTCCTCAAAGAGGCACATTCTGGGTCTTCAACTTAACCTTTCAACATCTCTTGCCTTTCCAAGGATCATACTGCATTTTCTTATAACATTAATTAAATCCACTGCTTACAGCCTTAAGTTTCCCCCACGACCCAACTACAATAGGCCTTCTCCTACTGCAACTGCTCCCTGCCCTCTACCAGACTGGAGATCAGTTCCTATAGGCATCTTTAAGTTATCCTCTAAGATGCCCAAATTTACTTAGATCAGAACGCCTAATGCTCTCCCCACCTACAACCAGCCTTCCTCCTAACACCTTACAAGGAAACACCACCATCCACCTATTGTTTAGGCCCAGTTTTCAATATCTCATTAGAGCCTTCCAGCTTCTCCCAATCTTGCAGTTTGTTTTCAGGTGGCCTCTCTGAAATGCTGACAGAGATAAAAGCACAGATGTTGTGTCCCAATTACATCTTCTCTACTCTTGACAAATACCACGTACACAGTGATTTGTACAGCAGGTTCTCCGAGCCTGCAGCTTCACTACATTCTCAACTATTTACATTTTTTCCCCTCATCCACTGTGTTCAGAAGGTTCCTGGTCTCCTCCTTTTACTAAATCTCAGTGACAAGCTAGCAGGCCATGAATTACATCATCCTGATGTTCTTAAAAACAGTATCTTGAGTACCAACTCCTCCCACACACCCCATGCTTGGAGTCCCCATAAGTATCTTTTGAAGACTGGGATTAAAATTGAGTTCTTCATTAAAATACAGAGGTGTTAGTTCAACAGCAACTTAATGGTTACAGAGCACTGTGGCATTGGCACACCCCTGTTTTCTCCTGTATTTAACTGGGTTCTTACTCTGCAATTGGAATCTCCCTAATAAGAGTCACAGACGGTATCTCCCCTTTGTTCTCCCCACTACCCTTTTCCACATACAGAAAACAGACAGTGCCATGCAATACTGTTCTTGCCTGGATCGTGCCCAAACAGGTGGTAAAACTCTGCCCTTGAAGGTTTTCAATCACCCAGCTAGACAAAATCAAGGCTGATCTGATCTAACGTTGGTGATAACCCTGCTTCAAGCAGGAGGTTATATGAGATAAAGGGTCCTTCCAACCAACACTTCTATGACTCAATGTGCCTCAGTAATATTCAAACCCTGCACAATAACTAATCAACAAGTCTGTTTAGTCAACAGAAAAAACCCCTCTGCTAATTAGAATGACCACCCCTCTTACAAAGCTCTCTCTAATTAATCACATAAAGTGCAGATCTTCCAAAAACAATTTAAGTATAAGGCAAAAGTAGTATCCATGGCTAGATGACCCTCTTTCCCAGGCAATTCAATAGCTACAAACTCTCAGAAAACTTCCAACTGTGAAGCAAGTACATTCTACTGGCAGAACTCTGCTGTAATTGCTAAGCTTTATTTATTCCATGACAGACTGGACTTTCAAGGAACAGAAAATGACAGTGCTGGGACTAGTGTGCAACAATCAATATCAAAACATCATGTAACAGACTTGCTGAATTATGTCTATGCCAGAATGTTTGTCACAATCTACAGTCCCCTGAACCCATACTAGTGCTTTAGAGAAGATACATCGCTACTCAGCTGAATGCCATATGCTCTAACCACATCAGCTCTCTCCATCTTAAAACACAGCTAAAACCAGTGCAGTAACGTTAACACTAACCACAACTTCCTAAGCCCCCTTGTCCTAATGGGCATTAAGCTTATACAGCTACCAGTCCTGCTCTGCCATCCTCAAGGCCATGTAGTGCTGGGAGAGCTGTTTAGGCTGTAAAACATCAAATAAACTAGAAGACTAGCCCAGCTGATTAATAGTTTACCATTCACCTAGCTCACCCTACAACCACATAAAACACTGCAAGTAGGGCTGTGAAAAGGCCTTTTGACAGCAACATCAAGTTAAAGCATTTATTGAAACACATAATATTTGTTACAACCTCAAGAAGTGGTTGGCAGAGTGCACGTGCATCAGTTTCCTTTCTTTTGGTGTGAAAACCACTGGTTAAAGCATAATAGCTATGACAAGTTTGAGACTATGCTTTATATGACACCAATAATGACCTCATCAGAAATATCTAATTGAAGGTATACACTTTAACTTTAACCACTGTCTTTTAGCAACAGTTGGGGAAATAATGGAGTTTCAGAGCCTTGCTCTGTCTAACCTAGCTTTCCCATTTATAATGAACCAGAGTCAGCTTTACATCACATTCTGTCTGCATCAACAGAAGACATTGACAGCATTTCCATTTCTGCTCTAAATTTGAGCAGCAAGGTCCCACACTGTATTCAACACCAGGACCATACTAAGTACATAACTGAATTCATCAACAGAAGCATCTCCATGTTACCACAGAGATTAACTTTTTTCTTCTGTATCTCTTCAAGATTAAAAGTAAAATTACATTTCATACCTGTTCTGATTTGAAGACTGAGAAGGTGATTGGTCTAAACAAAGATGTCTTTACTACAAAGGTACTGCACTTCATGTCTAAAGAAAAGACAATCTCAGCATTTTACAGTTGCACAAGTAGTGAGATAACCTACCACTGACTGTCACAAGCAAACAATGGAAGCAGCCTGAGGTGTTGTTTGTAGCAACTTTACTTCTATATGAAGAGAAAACATCTTAACAGCAGCACCAACTCTTTCTTACTTTTCAAAGTCTGAATATTTATCAGCTTACCCTTTTCTTTGCACTTTAGAAAGCAAACTACTTTCAGCTTCAGAACTATAGAGTTTTCCACACATAACCTGGTTATTATCAAGTGATACACAAAATCACATCAAGATACACATATCCTGACACATACACCTGAAGTTTGAGGAAGCTGTAGCAAAAAGCAACTGAAGTAAAGAGAACGTAGAGCAAAAGCATACCAATGACAGCAGGGCACACACCAAACTAGAAACCAGTTCTTCTGTCAGATACAATGTTGAATAAAGCTGTTTATGCTCTGTAGCTTCCACTTCAAATGAGGAACCTAGTAACACAAGATAGTATTTTCAAGTGTTATTTTATCAAAAAATGCAACTGCACTGTGGAGTCCTATGCCAATCTACAAACAAGAGTCTTGAACATAAGATTTTGAAGTGGGAGATACTTTGACACTAGAGAAAAGCAGCACTACTCCGTAATCAAGGCACAGAATGTCCTGCCTTGTCAACAACACATACTATAAGGTATAAACTCCTGCATGAACACAAGATAAGCAATTTATAGCAATTATGCAGCCATTTAGACTTTAGAAATGCCTGAGCCATACCCCCATTAGATATACTGCAAATGTTGAAGAAAAAAGGAGAGTTGATGTGAACAGTTTTCTGCTTTACTTGTTACCTAACCTTTTTTCCTCTGAAGCCACAAGGAAGCAAGTGAGCAGTGGAGAAGGGACAGAGAACGGCCTCTTTCAGCTGCACTATCAGTTTCTGTACAAAAGACCATAGTTGTCTTCTAGCTTGGAAGAAAGGACTATCATAAGTTACCACATGCAAGTTACGGAAGTCATAACACACAGCAGCTGAATTTGGCAGGGGGGTGAGGAGAGCTGGCTTTTGGTGTGCATTTTTTCGGGGTGTGGTTTTTTGTTTGTTTCAGGTTTTGTTTTCTGAGTTTTTTTTTTTAAATAAAGACTAGTGAACTCTAAGTTGGTGGAAAACAAGAATTTTTTTAAACCCCAAACTAGCTTGGAAGAAGTCTACTGTCTGGCTGATCAGAATGGGTAATACGAGTTATCCTGCAGATAACAACTAGAAAAGTGTATTATCGCAGCAGCAAACATTGTTCTGGACTATGCCTATCCTCATAATGGCAACTATTCTTGAACATACAAAGCAAACATTACAACTATTGTGTATGATTTACTTATTTTCTAACACTCAGCTCCATGGGAAGACTTCCTAAGATTCATAATTGACACTTAACTGCACTCTGGAGAGGGTTATTATTTTGGGTCAATGTGTTGACTAGTTAAGATGCTCATTCTACTTAATCTGGTTAACTTGCAGTACTCAAGAGAAAGGATTACATAGTATTGAAATACAGCAGAATCAAGGCAAGCTTGTGGAGCCTACCGAACAGCTTGTATTCTGATGATATAGGTATCTTAAGCTAGATGCAGAGTATAAATAATACGAAGTGGAATGTTTTGCTTCTGTTCCATTCTAGAGTGCATTTTCACCTAATCTCTAAACAATTAAGTACTTTTCTTTAGATAACTGATGTGCTTACAGCCTATTCCACGCATGACTTTTCCTTCTGTTTGCTCACATGCTTGTGTTTAGTACCACAATGAACGAGATTTACCCAAAGAAGTTTTTCTGCCTCCTCCTAGTTGGATTTTATTAGGACTACCTACCAACCAGCCACCACTGAGACATTTAAAATGAACACTACCCAAGACAGAAGATGGGTTAGCTACAGAAGTTGATCAGGACAACTGCCAACCTACAGATGAAGCCTGGGTGCACACAATGCATTGCTGTAAAAGTCACTGAGCTCCCTGGAATTAACAAAACATGCATAAGCATTTTATGCCATATAGAAAGCATTACTCTGCAACACTGAAGGCAACTCCAGAACTTCTATTGTATCTCACAGCATAGGAGCTCAAAGACGAACCAGAGAGAAGAAAACATTTTTCACATGTTTAAACTGGTACTTACTGCCACAGGAAGCCACGAGACATTAACAAGAATCAAGGGGCTGGACTTTTTATTCAGGGGATGATCAAGAACAGCCAGAGCCCTCTTAAAATCAGTCTTGTTAAAGGTACTTAAACATTCAGCTTCAAGGTTTAAACCAAGCTCGACCATAGGAAATGGCAGCAGGGCCTAATTTGGTAGAGGGGATTATCCCATGTTTAACACCTAAGAGTTTATTTTTTCTGAATCACCCGATACCAGCTATTCTTAGAAAGAGGACACGAGACCAGAGAAGTCTCAGGCCAGTTCCCATGGAAGTGACAGGCAGAGGAAAGTTGTATCATTCATGAGTTAATGACTACCACAAAGCATTTATGTGGGGGACAGAGACTACTATCTATGTAGATTTAGCATTTCTCATCACCCAATTAAGTATTTTCCATTAATCTTTCAAGTAACATTACAGGTTTTGCCCCCCCACCCCACCCCGAGGATACAGTATTAAACTGATAGCAACATACACATAACTTTAAAAAGAAAGCCTGTGCCAAAAGCCTATGAACAGTGCAATCCCTGCTTTATAAAGCAGTAAGGTTTTGCCTCACTGTCTAGATACTGTTGGTACTGTTTATACTCCACACTTCAGCTAATTAACGTGCCATGATAGTTATAGCACTTGCTGCTTACAATGTTATTGAAAATTAAAGAGGTAGACTTTTCAGTTTTACTAGGAAACTTGATTGTCCCCTTATTTTTATTGAAAAATGAAAAGCATTTCTCAATAAGAGCTATTTCCATGCTGAAATTTCAGGCTTGTCTCTCAAATAAACCCCAGCATTTGCTCTAAAACGACTCTATGGAGCTGGGCCCACCAATGCAAAACCACCTTTTCTGCAGGCAAAGAAAGGACGTTCACTAGGAAAGTCGGAAACAGCAGTCCTGGAGGGTCAGGAATAACTGAACAGCAGACTGCCCCGTGGACAACAAGAGCCCATATGCACAGCACTCGAAATGACATAACCTCGGGTTTATGACAGGAGCGGCACGCTAAAATACACTTAAACTCTGACCACAAGTACAGCGGCGGTTCCCCAATAAAAACACCTACTTCCCCCGCGCCCCTACACGCAAACTCGGTTGAACCCTGTAAAGCAGTGACTCGCACTGACCCGCCGCAGCGGCGGACCGCGGGCAGCCTTCACCGCAGGGCGAACCGTTACCGCGGACACAACGGGCCCAGCCCTCACCTCAGCCCCGCCCGAGCCGAGCGGCGGCCTCCGAGCCCG